TCAGTCTCTAAATGAAATGCTTTGCTCAAGGAGTCCACCAAAACCCTGTTACTTGTGGACCTTGAAGCAACAAGGTCAGATTATTACAGCACAGTCCTGTTTGGCATCCGTCCTGGCTGCTGAAATTTAAAGCTTTGCACTCACTCAGGTACTTCCAAGACCTGACTTTGTGTTATTCTGCGTCAGCACAGAAGTAAAACAGCTTATTCAAAGTTTGTATCTTTGTCTTTTCTTTCCTAGAGATACATGTTTTGACTTGATCTGTAATATTGTTCTCTAGCCATTTTTAGAAGAGCAAAAATTATTCTATCCTTAAACGCTCAACTACAATTTCAAGGTATCACTGGGGAAAATTGCAGTTACTCTAAGGGAGGGAAGAGAAAAAGCTAAAGTATTGCCAGTGTTTTGAAAACACAACATGAATTTAACTGTCTTGCAAGTTCATTTTCTTGAGGGTCAGGGCTCATATTAGGTCTAGGCACAGTAACAACACAGTAACTGGTTTCTGGGGAATAGCAGGCATCTGGAGAAATCAAGAAACTGTGATCTCAGAATTGAGGAAAAATTTCCTTGCAGAACCCTGTTAGAAACATTTTTTCTTGTAATGCTATTATTAGCTTTACAATGCTGTCATAACCTTGAATCTTCAATGTATTTTGTAAATGTGATTAATTCTTCTGCAACTCCCACATAAAACCCCAAACAAAACACCAAACTAGGGAAAATGAAATAAGCTAATTCCTGCCAAAGCATGTTCCAACATAAAAACATGTGCTTCACTGAAAATAACCAAGTGCCTGGGACAGCTTACAAGGGTGTACCCCTCATATCAATTGAATTTTCTTAGAATTCAGTGTTGTTATAATGATTCATTTTGCCATCATTTTTCTTTCTTTATGCCTCTCCAATGGAAAGATTTATTCCATTTTTTTTGTATTCTTAAGAAAAAAGATGATGCAGTACAAAGGCAGACTTATTTAGATTAGGAAATAGTCCATTAGAATTGCCATAAACAAGGGATACAGTATTTTTACATACATATCCACCTACATGTATGTATATATTCATTCCCACCTAAGTAGTGTTAAGGTTTCTGGGCTTTTTCTACTTACATAACACAAGGGTGTGAACACATTTATAGAAAATATCAAGAGAAATTATTAAGAGATACATAAGAGAATGAAGAGATAGATTAACATTGTGGCTGTGGTTTTTAGCTCCAGTGAGCCACCAAGCATTCCTTTCCTGATGGTTCCACATCTATCAGGTATCACCACTTCACAACCATTTTCTCACAACTTTCTTCACTGTTAAGTGCTCTGCATTTTATAGGAAGCCATTTGAGTCTACAGAAAGTCCCTCTCCTAATATGTTGGAGCTAACTTCTAGCTTGATCTGCTGGAACAGCAGGCAGACTAGCCAGCTCTGTTGTTTTATTTTCATCTGCTTTATAATTCATACCATAAGGCTGCTGTGTTCTCAAATCTCACCCCAGGGACTCCAGTTGCAATATCCACACATCCTTTGCAACATCTCTGCTGCATTCCCTTGGAATGTTCTAGCACTGCAAGGCGTATCACACATCCATACCTACTAAATACATTAAACCTCAATGGTATTTAGCTTTGTTCCAATTTAGATAACAAAAACCTTGTTTCCCAAGGAATGAAGACATTGCTGTCTTTCCCTGTGCCTAGGACACGAGTTAGCAGCAGGAA